TAATAAATGTATCCAATTTTTTCTTTACAGTTGGGAATAAGAGCAGCTTTCGAGGACACGGCTTCCTTCCCAGGCATTGCGCGCGGTCAGGATATGGACCAACGACTCAAAGTATCGAAGGTGCTGCAGCGGGCTGGTATTGTAGTTAATGAGCTCGGCAGTGTTGCATACTCTGCTACAGGTACGTTAGAAATTGTATTCATAAGTTGACTACCAAGTACTAAGAGAACAGAATGCCATTCATTGTAAGGATATACTTAGTAGACTTGCTTGCAGAATAGCTATCTGCTATTATAGCGATAGGTAAAATACATTTCTGTTCACTAAATCTACTTTCACCGCGGCTGTCATATATTACACTACATATTTGGCAGAGACCTGGCAGCGTTCTCTAAGAAAACTATTGCCAGACGTATCACTAATGACAAACCCACTTGTGTAGAGGGCCTATAGCCCAGCAGCACATAAATTGGGTACTTGTCTACTAGTAAAATTCAATACTCTTTTCAAACTGTTAAAAACGACAGTTTTCTATGAATTTTGTACGAGATTGTGTATTGTGACGTCACGTTTTTTAGCATCAAACAACATACTTATTTCTTAAAAATTTGCTGGAAAAATACTAAATCAATTAATGAAAGTGTAATTATTTTTTAATATTTTATTGTATTGAACAGTCGAAATAATTTATTTTTGATTAAGGCGAGTACCCAATTGCCACGAGTTGTTAATGATGATGATGATGATGATCATGATGATGAGAGTGATGATTTAGAAACCCAGTATAGGAGATTAGCCTACAAAATATAACTCCAAATTCCTTATGATTGTTAAAAATTTTAAAAAATAGGACACTAATTCATTTTTGTACGATGCTGGCCTGAAACCTGTAACTTCATGTTTGACAATGACCAACTGACCAAGGAAGTAGTTTATAAAAACGATATTTTTTTTTAAATCGAATTAACTTATGTTTTTCATCTTCTATTAACAGAAATATCGCTGGTGAACAAATTCGGTGAGGATACTGAAGCTACTGCAGAGGTTGTAGCTGACAAACCATTCCTGTTCTTCATCCAAGATGAAGCCACCCGGCAGTTGCTCTTCACTGGTCGTGTTTCTGAACCACATGGTCAAGATGGAGTCCTTAAAGTATAAGTTGATAAGCTGTTCTTCATAAGTTATAAAATAAATTATGTGTGATAAAGATTTGAATTAAAATATTGTATTTTCGTTGTCATTTAGCGTCATTTGCTTGAAAAAGTTCGTTACGTATTTTGAAAGATGGCTTTTGTAAGTTTGGTTTTTGATAATGAGAAAATCAAAATGTTAATACTTTCCGACTGCTATTTGAAGTGACAAATTGATAATAAAAATGTATACAAATAGATATATTTAAGTTAAAATAAATGATAATTTTTTTTTATAACAACCGCTTACAACGGACGAAAGAACAAATTCAATACTTAGTGCCATTTGTTGCGTATGTTGGATAATTGAATTAAAAGAAATGCACGAAAATATACGATGATTGTAATAAAAGATGATTTTTATTTTTCACCGACATTCCAAAATCCCTGATACATCCCAATTTTTATAATCGTCCAATCATTGAACTTTGTCCATTTCTACAAGCAAATTTGAAAAAAAAAAGAGTAAGAAACTGTCAGCCTTTTCTCAAATTCAAATAAGGAATTGGATGCCGAATCAACCAATGATCATGATATTGCCACAAAAAAACTAACAAAACCCAAAGCAATTAAAATCACGTTTCGACGTAAATACCCTCAAGCTAAAACATGTTTGGTGTTTAATACTAAAAGGTATTATGTATTAGTCACCTTACAGCTACGTCACAACGGTGTCTTGCACACTTCCATATACTTCCAAGCCAGTGCGTGAGGTAGACGAAGTCTGACGTTATCTGTTCGTGTATTAAAAATTATGTGAATAAATATAAAAAATAAAGAAAAAATGCGTCCATTTATAGCCATTGGTAAGTAATTATTCGATAGTATTTTGTTTATTATCCCTTTTTTGTGGTGTTGTCGGTTGCTATAGATAATTATAATCTTATTTTCTCTAATGCAATAAATATCTTACGGATATGTTCTTTAGTTTGTGTATTTTTTAACCTTGTAATTCAACACAGTCATTAATGATATTGTAAATAAATAAAACACGTTTTAACTCGTCGAGTACCGTTATTATAGACACAATTATAGAACAATAGGTTGCGGTCACCGGTGACCGCTTGGTGTTTGACAGTTTAAGCCAGTTAAGTACTGCTTATTGCAGCTACGTGTTATAAGTATAGCGTAACCAATATTATGTTAGGAAAATGATCTTGTTTGTTCTTACGATTATACGCCTAAACAGCTGATTTTGATGAATTATGTATATTATAGGGGTACCTTTGTCGTAGTATATTATTTTACTTTCAAGTTTATTCGTTTGTAAAAGTTTCATATGTCATTGATTTATTTATAAATTTTTAAAGATATCGGTTTTCCATATCTTCAAAATAACCTTCTCTAAGTAAAACCGGTATCAACAACAATATTGGCAATGATAGCAACGTGATTTTTGATTGATTGTTGTGTAGAGAAATTTTAGGCATTAATTTATTTATAACTTGATAACCAAAGTTAAGACATTCCTATATCATTGATATTCTAGACAACGTGCATATTGCTATATTGTCTAAAGTAGAGGGGTTTTTGCTTATTAGATCAGCTATACTTCTTTTTTGTGGTACCACTACGTACCTGAAGGTTGGCCGTCAGTTTTTCGAATTGGTACTTGTCATTGGCTTGACGGAAAAGTTGTCCAGCAGAGTTGACACCGGTCCACTCCCGGCTATTGCGTAGCCACGACTTTTTCCTTCACCTAGCGCTTGACTTCCCTTCCAACTTTATCATCATTTTAAAATAAAGTAGCATGTACCTCTCGTGTCTGATTTGACCCATGTTACTAATGAGGAACAGGAGGAGATACTACGCAGGAACTTGTATATCTAGACTTGACTTAAAAATCATTATAGATAGTCCCAAAACGAGCAAAATGCTGTAAAAATATGAGCAGTGTTTTATACCGAAGAATGGCAATAGATTGAAACTAGTCTATCATCTGATTTTAATTTCCGTTTTAACAATATTATTATATACCTCAAAAATTTTGTTAACTTGTAAATAGAATTTCCATAAAGTATCTTAAATACACCATTACAATCTAATCAATATTTCCTAATTTAATTCCAGTTCTAATCTTCGCTTCCATCCAAAGTTTAGACTGCCTCACTGGTGCTTCTAATTCACGCTTAAACTATTTTGACATCGACCTCCTTCGATATGTCGCTGAAGGCAAGAGTGGGAACGTGATGGTGTCTCCAGCCAGTATCAAGTCCACATTGGCGATGTTACTGGAAGGTGCCCAGGGAGCAACGGCTGCAGAGATACAGACTGCACTAAGACTGATACCTAATAAGGAAGATTATAGAGAACAGTTGAGTGATTTCATGAGGGATTTAGAGGTAATGGTCTTTTTATGTGTTTCCTTCCCTCAGATAATTTGGCACTGGAGAAGTTCTACGTAAATTAGACTAGGTATTCAATGTTGTAGGGAAACAACGTAAAATTTTCGGTCTGCCTTCCTCATCTTATCAAGGTGTGATTTGCATTTGGTAAGACCAGTCTATGACAAATAGTGCGACGCCTTTACTTATTTCCGAGAAACTAAGAAATCTAGATGTAGAGGTAACTAGTGAGATAAAAAGTGGTTTCTCATTCATAGATCGACTGCAGCAGGCGTGGCTTATAATAGCTATCGAGTTCTTGATTAGTCCTTAGATATGTGTGCAAACGAGCAGCCACATCACCTGATGGTAAGCAATTAGCAGTGGCCATGGTCATACGAAACACCATCGTGCGTTTTAGAGTTAAAGATTTCTACCTGTAGATACATAAAGGTTTAAATATTATATGGGATATTTCATGCTTCGAGTAAAAGCAAAATCGAACCCCAGAAAGTCGTTCTGAAACTAGTTTAATGCTCAAAGAGGCTGTAGTATTAAACTATTAATAGAATAGAAGGGTTGTTGGGGATTCCCATACAAGTGTCTGTGGAATATCTCTCAGGATGTTGGGTTTTTACTTTCTATACCAGATACATAAGTAAGATTGTGTATAAATATAGTAACTTACCTTGAAAACAATTAATCTAAGGTAAACTACATGTGATTCTACTTCATGTAGATACATACCTCTATAAATGTAACCGGAACATACATGTATATGTTCCGTAGACAACAACATAATTATTTTTAATATATGGGATCATACAAAGATACAGACTCGTCGGCCGAGTGGTCGCCGAGGGGTCTCGGGTTCGATTCCCGGGGAGGGCAATATTACTGGTACTAGTATATTACTGGGATTTTAAAAAATACTGTTTGGAATTGTGCCCAGTATATGGCAATAGGCTCATCCCATATTAAATGGGACTCATAACATAAATAGTGAATAGTGGGTGTTACATTGTACAGTGACATTAAGTGCCATGCCGTAATGGGCACCTCTGCCTACATTTTCGGAGATAAAAGGCGTGATGTTAAGTTATGTGTACAAACAAGTTATGCACAAAGTTATGCACCGCAAATCTTTCAGTGACTTTTATCAATTATTTTTGATAGCTATCTAAATTTTTGCACTCAAACTTCCCAAACACTGTTTCAGATAAACTCATCAAGTGTGGCGGTAAACAATGCGAATGGACTGTTCGTGTCAAAGCAATTGCAGCTGAAGAAAGAATACGAGATGTTAGCGAAACGTGTGTACTTCTCTGAAGTAAATAAATTAGATTTCAATGACCCGCGCACTGCTGCCGATGTGATCAATGGTTGGGTCAACAGCAAAACTAAGGGCTTGATACCAGCTATTTTAGATCAAGGTGAGGAAACAAGAATAGTTTTTATATCAACGCAACTAAGCTACACTTTCTGATGCACTCTCACTTGTACCTCAAGGAAATGTGCTACACAACAACATGAAAATTTTGTATCGGTCCCTTGCTGGACTTTATAATCCCATGAATGGCAATGGGGTTTCCATGCCTCCTATATAAAAAAGGGTTAGGTTTCCGTAATTTTACGCTTGACAATATACTTTTACTTTTAATCTACGTTGGTAGATTAAAAGTAGTGACAGTGGATTTTAACAGAAACAAATATTTCCTTCTGAATTTATCGAAAATATTGTCCTTTTCCTTATTTTTTTTTATATTTAACATTTCAGCTCACATCAATCCTAAGACAGAATTGTTGTTGACAAACGCCCTCTACTTCAAGGGTACCTGGCTCAACGAGTTTGACCTCAAGCAAACCCATGGAGACTGTTTCTATAGGAATAGTGTTTGTAAGACAGTCGCCATGATGAATTTGGAAGCAGAATTAAACTATGCCTATGTGGATAACCTCAGAGCTCATGCTTTGGAGCTGCCTTATCAGGTGAGTTAGGAAAACTTAAAGTCTTATCAAAGATGAAACATGTTGTAAGGATAATGAATATATTAGATTCTTAATTTAAAAAATGCTTTTATTTTCACTCTTTCGGTCTCCACCTTTCTGTGGAAGTTATTTTACGAAATTATGAATTGAGGTGTTTCCACCATAAGTTGTTCATGTTTTTATGAGTATTTTATCACGTCAAGTTTTATGTATTTTGTTACATTTATCATTTTTTTAGTGTTAGAGCCATTTATAATAAATTCTAGTGTCTCATTTCGATTCAAACATCTTCCTCTTTCTTTTACTATGTATAACATTATTATGTTCTTTCACAAAAGCAAATCCTTTCTTTCCAGAATAAGCGTTATTCAATGATGATCCTCGTGCCTCAAGATCGTGATGCTGGACTGGCACTCATCCGCGACCTTCCCTACATCGGATTGCTGCAAATATCCAAGATATTGATGCCCACTGACGTCGTACTCACGATGCCTAAATTTACTGTTGAGTATGGTGAAGATATGGTGGCACCTTTGAAGAATGTAAGTATGGTGTCATAAAATCTTAAATCCTACATATAATGTGCTTAATACGTCACCTCGGCTTAGACTCCATGTTCTAACAAGTACTGGAAATGTACAGTTTGACCAGCAAGAAAGAAATGAAGACTTCGCGATCTTTATTTGATTTTGTGGCCACTCGTCGAGTAATGACGAATTATTGTGACTATTTCTGTAATTTTACTACTATTAAGTAATAATTACGTACTAAATAATTTCAACATTTTCAGATGGGCATATCAACCCTGTTTTCTCCTGCTGCAAACCTGTCAGGTATCGTTAATGGCGCAGAAGTTCATTTGAACACCATCTTCCACAAGGTCTACATGGCTGTTGATGAAAAGGGAACTACCGCTGCAGCAGCAACTGCCGGACTAGTGGTACCTCTGATCAATAATTTTGTACAACTTCGTGTTGATCGACCGTTCCTCTTCTTCATTTGGGACAATGAAAAAGGTGTCGTCCTTTTTGAGGGAAAGATTGAAGAGCCCACGGAGTTTGTTGCTCTGAATAATAAATATGGTACGTATTTGTGTTAAAATAATATTATAATGGAATAAAATTAGCTACATTACCTCAAATAAGTAAACAATAAAATATGATGAATGTTTTCATTTTTATCCATTATGTGGTCACGTTTTTGAATGGGGGTTTTCTAAGTAAATTTATACTTTTTTCCAGGTCAGCCTCAAAACTCACCTGTTCCCGTTCCCGCTCCCGCTCCCGCTCCCGTTCCCGCTCCCACTCCCGTTCCCGCTCCCGCTCCCGTTTCCGCTCCCGTTCCCGTTCCAAGCCAGCTTATTCCAAATGCTCCCCCAAAGACCAACCAGCCGAATTTAAAACCAATCGAACAAATTCTAATCCAGCCAATGATAGATCAACTCATGTATAGCCAGCCTCCTCAGCCATCAAACCAACCGATTCAACCAGCAAACCTACCGATCCAACCAGTAAATCCGCCAAGTCAGCTATCAAGTCATCCAACACAGCCTACGAGTCAACCGACTACCGAACATTCCACGACGACATACAATCCCCCGTCAAGGAAAACTCAGACAAACTGGTTCCAAAAAGTTTCCAGTTATTTTGGTTGATTAGTCATTTAATTAGTTTGAGTACTATAAGGTAATTTTAAGTTTGTATTATTTTGACATAACTTCGAATTATAAACGAAATTACTATAATAAATATCTATTATTGTAGTTTTTTTTACTTTATTTTTTTATGGCATAAACCGGTAAACAAGCAGGCGGATCACCTGATGGTAAGCAATCGGCGTCGCCCATGGACACCTGGAATACCAGAGGCGTTACAAGTGCGTTACCGGCATTTTGGGGATTAGGAGTTTGAGGATCGTTGGGGATTCAGGGATTGGGGAGATTGGGGAAGGGGAGGGTTATTGGGCCTCCGGTAACCTCACTCACACGATGAAACACAACGCAAGTGTTGCTTCACGTAGGTTTTCTGTGAGGCCGTGGTATCACTCCGGTCGAGCCGGCCTATTCGTGCCGAAGTATGGCTCTCCCACACTAAAATTATGTAATAAAACAAATAATATTCAAATTGACTAATGTTTATTTTCTAGAAAATACCATTGTATTTTCTTGTGGTTTCAACGATTTTTGGCCATATTCTGAATTAATGAATTGAGAAAATATCTATTGAGGAATTGTAAAGTCTACTATTAGAAGAAATAAACCGAAGTTTGAACAGAAACCACGTAACTGGGTGTTTACTGGCCAATAAGAGTATCAAAGGAGATAAAAAGGTAAAGGCGGATAAAATGTACACTGAAGAGTGTTAGGACATCCATACACAAAACTGGTTTTATTTTGGTATTTAAGTTGCATTAATAGTTCTGCATAGTGATTCATGTCAGTACATACTTAATAATATATTCTAAAATCGGGTCATGAACCGGATTGTATCAGACAAATTGTTATTAAAGGTCCGAGGTCAATTTTTTTCAATTATCAATACAATTTTAATTTGATTGCTATCATAAAATTGTATCAATTATAGTTATTTGTATTATATGTATGACATTGCGTTTAATGTTTATCCGGTGTGTCAAACGCAAATTGTTACGAATATTGCAAAAATGTTGTTATGAAAATTGTAAATCTATTTACGTACAATAACTTTTTCGTGGGTCCAGCGCCCGCAAAGGAGTTTTGTTGTGGGTTCTTGTAACAGATTAGAGTCCTGAGTTGGGAAAAGCGTATGGCTAAAATTAGTGTCTGTACTTATTTCATAACATATTTCTTAAAACGGAGTAAGTATTGAGTTCAGTCTATAGTAATAGACCCTGCTAACTTCTGGCTGAACGAGCTATAAAAATAAATAACATAACTGATTCTCAGTGGCAAAAAAATAAAATTGATTAATACAAGTAGGTGAGTATTTATTAGACAGTTGATACTATCTTGTTTATTACCTTCATAGTCAATCATCACGACTCGTTATATCGTGATAACCTCATTTTTTGTAGACCTGGTCATCGCACTCTATTTTCTATGTATAGTATCAAAATCACGACCTTTATTCTAAAAGATTTCACTGATATATTGATGTTCACAGTTCATACTAATTCTGGTTCAAAGTTACGAGAGAGGACTGCAACAAAAAATGATAGATTTGGTACAATAAATAGGTCGTATAATGATATCATCTTCTTTCTTCAGTTCCCTTCGAGGTTGAGGTTGGCACTCTTATGGCAATTTTAACCAGATACATCTGCATGATCAGGTTTTTCGTTTGGGGGCCCACAGAGTTTCATGCAGATTCAACTTCATGAATAGCTAGCCAAATCATTCAATAAGTTGGAAGTAACGATTGGTTAACTTATCTGAAATAAAGTTTATCTGATAATAATAGGTGGTATAAATATGACAAAACCAGGTTTAGAGATACAGAAGATATTTGGAAAGATTCTAAAACCATTTATTGACCTTTTACAGTATTTTTTTAATCTATGAATAATCTATAAATCTATGAATAATGTCCGCGTTTGGCCTCCGTCTGGCGTGGTAGTAAACGATAATGCAGCCTGCATCAGGTTATATATTTAAATATAAAAATACCAGCACTACTCCTTAAGTACCCTTTCTTTAAAGACTATTAAAACGCCTACAAGCCTAATTTTCAGGTTTTGGACTTCATTCTAAGTGTAGAAGTTTCCAGAACGAAATCCACGAAAATGAGCCCAGCCGTTCAATAAAAACAGCAGTAGTGAACACGTTTTTAATTTTGTATTTTGTAGAAACAAGCCTTTTATATATTAAAATAAAAACTCATTAGTTACTTCAAAACGGAGTTAGTGGGACACATCTTAAAATATACAACTTGTACTCTAAAATGTAAATGGGATACTATTCTGGTCAGCAAATAAATTCATATATCAGCTTAAAGTATCTTTAAATCATTTCAGACGTGCTTGGAAACAAGCTTCATTTTAAAAGTGGGATTTTAGCACACTTGTTTACCTACTCGAGTCCTTTCGTCCGCACTGGGACCGATTTTACTTGACACGCAAAAAATATAGCACCAATTTTGTTTACTTCTCTTCAAATACAATACGTTTCTTGTATGGTAGTCACACACACTAGTCTTTTTGGTGAAGTTTGGAAGCAATTTTTATTTTAATAGTGTAATATATGGTGGGCCAAAATGCTAATTAAGTCTAAAAAGACTGAAAGGAGGGAACTTATCAAATTCAAATGTGGACTAACATGTTGCATTTCTTAATCTTGCTTTACAGGAGCTACGGTGGTTTTGAAAGGTTGTAGCGGGATGCTCATATAAAAAAAATCGTATTCAGAAATCAGAATAGATTCTACATTATGTCATCATAAAATTCGAATCAATAAAAGCATAAAGAGCTCTTTCAAATCCTCCCCAATTAAAAAAAAAAACTAGCAGTTTTTGTCAAACTGACCAGTGCGACCAAACTGTTCTGGGTACGATTGGTATATGGATGTGACCGAACTTTACAAAAATAAACAAAAAAATCTGTTGAAAGTCTTTAGGCTAAAACCATCCGATTAGAATTCTGAGAAGGGCATAGAAACTAAATATCATTATTGGCAGGTAAACTTGTCTCCGACCCTATTATTTATAGAGACAAAAGAATAGGTTTTAAAAGTATAATTAATAGTATTTAATACGGAAACGAGCAGTCTGAAATAAATGGAAAGATAAAAAATTAAACTTATGTTATCAATATTAAGTTTAAATACTTTCTGTTTACTGAAGGGGTGGGAAGTTAATTATTATTCGTTTAGAATAAAGAACGTTAAGGACATTCTTTATTCAAAAGCAAGATTCATACATTCAAATAAAAAAAATTCAGACAACTGACACAGATAGAAAGACACTTCGAAATTCGAAATCGAAAAGCACAATAACACTTTGCCCAACTCAGCAATGCTTGATTAAATAAATGATGTGCTTAGAAATAAAATCTTCTAGAATGTTTAGCGGTGTTTGGAATGATCTTGAACACTGTAGCTTGAAAGTCGTGCACACTTCAACTTAATAACTTGATAGTAGGTCAGTATGGTATGTGCGGAAAATTCCTAGTATCTAAGTTTAATGAATATCGAATATGTAAAAGTATTATTAAAGTGTGGAAGAGCCATGCTTCGGTACGAATGGGCCGGCTCGACCGGAGTGATACCACGGCCTTACAGAAAACCGACGTGAAGCAAAGCTTGCGTTGTGTTCCGTCGTGTGAGTGAGGTTACCGGAGGCCCAATTAGCTTCCCCTTCTCCAATCTCCCCAATCCCTGAATCCCCAACGATCCTCAAACTCCTAATCCCCAAAAAGCCGGTGACGCACTTGTAACGCCTCTGGTGTTCCAGGTGTCCATGGGCGACGCCGATTGCTTACCATCAGATGATCCGTCTGCTCGTTTACCGGCTTATGCCATAAAAAAAAGTATTTATTTCCGAAAGAGATAGAAACAGGTACCTACTTATACATTAACTATTAACAATTTGTTTTCACCAGCCTTCTGACAATGTGATGAAGGACGATTCTGTAAAGAAACAACGGGTATTTATTCTATAAATGATAATTCAGTTAAGGATCCTTAAACTTGCTTGTAATTCTCGATGACCGACTAAGTTTCGAGCCCAACCTGAGCCCTTTGTTAGTTAGTAGTTAGCTACGTAAGTACACGATTTTGTTTATATAAGTAGCTTGTTATAGAATTAGTAATATTGTGAGTGCTCCTTTCGCCTGTGATACAGGATATTCTTCCTAGTACTACAGGCATTCAAACTTAGTGAGATCTCTGATTTTAAATTAAGATGTTTATCTGTACTATAACCAATCGATTATAATGAATAAAGATTTATTTATTTACGACTAGCTTTTACCCGCGGCTTCGCTCGCGTCACAAAAGGATAAAAAGTAGCCTATGTGACATATTATACCAATACACACAGCGCCATATATACCAATACTTTTGATTTCCCTCGGTAATATCAATTTTTCCGGGAAAAAAGTACCCTATTATTTAATCTGGACTTCTATCTTTACTTCTGCAAAAATTCAAATCAATCGATTAAATAGTTACGGTGTGAAAGCGGAACAAACAAACAAACTCACTTTCCGATTTATAATATTAGTAAGGATTAGTAAGGATAGTAAGGATAATCGCTTAGCAAACTGAGTCCTACTTACTAGACTTCTCCTAATTTAGTATGCGGATAGATTGATTTTACTAGATGCTGATTGGAAGTTCAATTAGTTAACAGTATAAATGCGCTAAGTAGTCTAGTCATACAAATATGCATGTCTGTCAATCACTCACTTCGATTAGGTCTTTTTAACTTTCCAAAGCCTTGATTAGGTTTTTACTTAAGTGTTTTTTTTTCATTTTTACAAGCGAGCACTGACATTTTATTTTCAAATTGAAGAGCTATTTATATTGTTTTATCATCTTAGGGTTAGTATATACGCACTACGAGCGATTTACGCTTAAGCACTCCTAAAATGTATACCTGTTTAATCGGGCATAAGCCCTAAAACTGTTTAAACGAGCTATGCCCCATTTCCTAACGGAAATATCATATTTTTTTAACTCACAACCACCAAGATCAGATTTTTTCTGAACATATATTCATATTTGTCCTAATTTCATTTTATAAATCCTACCTTGGTTTCTGGGTCATTGTTTGACCAGATGCTAATATTTATAGTTGTTACACCTACTTTGTTTATTTATTTCGACATTTTCAAGAATACAATGGATACTTTCTTTTCTGAACAATATACCTATTAACTAAGTAGTACTACGAACTAAGTATGATTTATGAATATAATAATATACCTCTACGTTTTGTTGCGAAAAGATTTTTTGTCTACATTTACTAGATTAATAAAAGTGTTGAAGCTCAGAAACTGAGGTTTATTTATCTTGATTTTTTAAAAAATTGCAAAATAGATATTTAGACCAATTGTGTATTTATTATTTGAAGAAGACTTTAGTCCTGAATCTGACTTTCTCCGTGGTTAAGATGTTGATAAAAGAATTTACTTGTCCTGTAGTTATAAAACCTTCGACTTTCCGAATGTCGTGATAAAAATATTGAAATTAAAGCATGTCATGTTTTTCTTTCATCTTTCTAACACACGGAAAAGTCAAGTTCCTGATTACAATCGCACATGCAACTGGACAATCAGCGGCCATATTGCATGCCTGCAGTTTAAGTAATTGCTTAATAGATAGCACTATATCAGGAGTTTCTAAGTAATAATAGCTTAATCAGTGTCTAACATGCCTCTTGGTGGATTGTATTATAGAATTTCATGAAAATCTATTGGCTGTAAGGGATTTTCACTTATTATTACTTCAAAAGTGAGTAGTTAAGTACTGGCTCTCACAAAAATGGTTTTACGGTAATCATAAAAGGATCATCAGGTTCTGATTTTAATGGGATATCTCATTTGATATCTTTAGTTAATAAAGATATTTAATAATGCTCACAAAAATACCAATATCATAGCATCTTTAATTTAATTTCTTTGGCCAAGGGTATGGTCTCGGTTGAATTCATAAAGTCAGTCGTCTACTAAGTTGCAATTTCTTTGAACTTCTTTGAACTATTAAAATCCTATTATTTCCTAGTAGACACCCATGTATTTGTTTCCGGAGGAAGATATGACAGGTGAGATGGTTCAATGAATACGTAAATGAGTAAATGGTACTTAAATGTTTTATTGATGTAGTAGTCAAACGCGTAACATAACAGGGTAGAAGGAGGAAGGACGTAATAATAATGTTACATTCATTTATCGCCAGTTATGTTATGGCATCCGAAATGGTTAAGAACTTAAGAGAGAGAAAAGGGGCGAAGCTATTGCATGCCTTATTATCTGGCTACAATTTCCATCTCCGTGCTGATAATGAAAGTTTCAATAGACCATAGGAATAGACATAGGAATAGTTTAAAAAGAGTGCGTGGTTGCGGCGATGTCGCGCAGTCTACTGACCTCCGCCCGCCGCGACCGCGCACGCTGCTCATGATGAAGAACCCCTCTGTGGCTCGAAACTAATAGAACTTTACACACTATTTTCACGTGGGTAACCCGCGATTTTTAGTTAATTTGCAAACAGATTTTATAGAAAAGTCTAATAATTTCATTCGAATAAAATTTAAAACCCTCGTTTGGCAGCGGTGCTTGTGACTGTACGATTCGCTTGACGTGGCCGTCAATACGCATTACGCATAGCTTTAAAATTAATGTTTGAATACCACCAAAGTACCTAAACATCGGGATAAAGATGTAACTAGATGTTAATTGACTGTGGTAATTATTGATTGACCCCGTTAGTAGCTGTGCATGCACAGAATAAAGATTAGGCGGTTCTCTATTTGAAAATAATTTTCTCTTTAAAGTTACAAATATGACACGTTAGAGGTAACACCTTTTTTCAATGAAGGTTTATTGATCTGAATTATATTTCAATTAAAATAAATAAAAAGTCACAACTGAGTTCCGAACATAATTTTGATCATTTATTTTATAATAAATATAATAATTCATTTAATAATTTTATAATAATTAGTTTTTCATTTGAAACCCTGTGTTCTACAGATGAATAAATTAGATGAGCAATAAATTAAAAATAAATTGATTACAAGTTAATCGCTAGTTATCTGTGGCGCTTAGTTCTACGGACCTTTCTATCATTGGCGATTTTTTGTTGCGATTATATTGTTTCACGTGCTCGATATCCCGGGACGTTGTAGACTACACAATGTTTAGAATAGACAACCTTTTTTCATAACTTTGGAAAAAGTATTATTAAGAATATTTTTAAGTACCTACATATACCTAATATGATTAACAAAATATTAAGCGGTCTACTTTTTAAACGGGTACGATTTGAAGATCAAAGGTTATATTTTTTTTAACATTAGAATTATGAGATAGGATTAAACAGTTAATTAATTTACTTTTTAAATAGATGTTACTAGTCTAGACATCTTATTTAGTAGGGTGATCATTTAAATTAAATAATTTATGACTTTATTATGACTAGTATTTCGCACTTATCTTAAAGTTTTATAACATACATTTAAAATAATAAAAAACCGGTCAAAGATATTCTGAGGCTCAAAACCAGTTCATAACAATACCATAAACATGTGGGGCATTTATGTCACAGGCACGTCTGTCAAGCAGAAACTAAAACAAAAAAGTAATAGAAATGCATCATACAGCACCACGGCGCCTATTCTATGCTCACTGTGGCTTCTTCAAATATAACTGTTTAATGTCTAGATATAAACGCGCGCGACCAGCTTCCGGGCACGTCATTCTCTATCGAGCACGGCGCAAGCGTAGCCGCACGCTTCCCGCGCTTTTTTGACATTTCAATAAAAAAGTGTATTTACTTTTTAATTAGTGCCTGTGTTGCAAGCAGCATGTAAGTAGTTTCATTATTATTTTAAGTCGGACGTTGACATTTATTCGTGTAGAATGTAGGTCACAACGCTTTGTTATGCGCTGCTTAACGGGCCCTGTTCATAGTAAAGCCTTTATCAATTCGCAGTAAAAGGTTTATTTATACATGGATTAATGGATTATTAATGCCTTTGGGTTAGCGGGCTAAGACAAATTTTATGCGTGCCACTTATTTTATTAATTAAAACCGGCAAAACCGTATTTACCGCTTTTTTATTTAGTAAAAATCAGTGTCACATTTCTTCTTTGAAAAACAATGCCATGCGAAAACAAATGTAACTAAACTAAATTACTTATTGTGCGTTTTTTAAATTATACAAACATGTGACAGAACCTAATGAAAAAACAAAAAAAAAAACTCTTGATACCAGCTAGTGCAGGGACTAGTTTTTTTAAATTCTTTGTATATTTTTTCGGTAAATACGTAAACCTGACTTTTAGTATTATTTTTTAGTTAGCACCTCGTCCTCCTTGAGTTGGTTTGCTAATAACTTATTTAGGTAGATGACGGACTTAGGACGTTTCCTATGACCGTGAACGGACACTTTTGATTTATTTTTCATTTAACATAAAAATAATGTTATTGTTCTAAAGGGCTTTGGGATATTTATAGTACCTTTATATGTTGCTTAGTATGTTTTAAAATCAATTGTGATGATTTGAATACTTGTATTATGTTAAATAACTGGCTTTAATTAATGATAATCATGTTTATAATGTAATTGGTTTCCTTGAAGGGATAAACAGGCTATTTTACTATTTACATTGGTCACAATTTATTGTTTATTTATCCCATTATTTATATTATTCGTGAGACTATTAATCACATGTTGTGATGATTAACAAATAAATATACATATCAGTGCAGATGCTTACTTCATATATTTTGTTCTACTCGCAATCCAAATTGGAGCTTAATCTAACTAAGGCCCGTTTCTAGCAACATATCCTGAACTTTAAGGAAACTCTTACCTAATATATATGACATCATTTTGGTTTTTCTTAACCAATAAGAAACACGTAATAGAATAAATAAGGGGTTAGTTTGGGTGCTTCTTCTAGCTAAGTAACTCATAGTTAAAATATGTTTTAGGGTGATTGGTATAAACAGCCATAGTCTAACTAATCTATGATACTAAAATGGAAGAATTAATGCCGTATTTGTAAGTCACATTGACAATAACACACGTACATATCTTGTGGAATACGTCATCTATTTTTATATCCTCCACCTCTTGTACTAAGAGGTATAAGTTGACAAAAGTTCAAGGTCAAATGTCATCATAGTCAATAAATCAATGTCCCCTTATACCAACTTTTTAATAAATTAATACGGTTGTAACTCGTTTTAACGTTTCAATTAATTTTGAACTCAATTTGTAAAGTGTAAAGATGCTATCTTGTTTGTGTGATGGAAAACATATGATATTTTGTTTCTTTACTTTAAAATAACTTATTTAAGTAGCGACCAATCCCTGCTTTGTCTGAGTACTACTTATCTACGTATCGACATTGTGGGTAAAGTTTTCTTTCACAAAAATATTATCCGGACAGCAACGGAAACAAAACAAAAAGAGAACAGCAATTATCGGAATCGGCATAATCATTTCTGGGTTTTTTTCGAAGTAAAATTCGTATGATGATAAGCTCAAGTTGTGTCATCGAATTTAGTCAATAATGCAAGACTATTATACATACGAGATCCACATCATATAACCCGACTATTTCTTTATTTTCAGATCATATCAAGAGTATCCAAGAGCTGTGAAATGCGTCCGTTGTTATTAGGTAAGTTTCTTATCTAAGCTTTAACATATACATGCATACTCACATGTTTCTTACATATAAGTTTTTCTATTTTTATGTAATCTGAAAGCTGGTGAAAGTTCGTTGCAATCGTGTGCATAATGTATTGGAAAGCTATCATGTTGCATATTAATTATATTCAGAAACGAGTCTTCTCTCAATGAGTTTTATACATGAACATGCATAATTATATTAGTAGATCTATTATGACTGCTTCGTTGGCCGAATAGTCGCAAGTGCGACTGCCGGGCAAGGTGTCTTGGGTTCGATTCCCGGGTCGTGCACAGTATAGCTGGGGCTTTTAGGAAAATATCTCAGTACGGAAATGTGCCCGGTATATGGCAATAGGCTCACCCCCTATTACATGGGACTCACAACATACCTAAATAGTGAAAAGTGGGTGTTATTGTACAGTGACATTAAGTATCGTAATTTGCACCCCTTACACGAATGAAAGGCGTTATGTTATGTTATGTCGATCTATTATTTCACAGTCTATTCACAGGATAAAACATTTCGTATTAGAAGAAAGTATGATTTAACTTCATAATATTTTAACGGAATTTGTATTTGGAATAATGAACTACATTATTGTTTATTTTCAGATATTTGATATACATTTTTCGAATACCCAGTATAGCTATTGTATAAAGCCAGTAATATTTCGAAAACTCCTTTTGTTATTAAACTGGACTATCTACTGCTATACCTATTCAGAATTCCTAATAACAAAAAAAATAATGAGATTTATTTATTTATATTCATGATTATGGTTATTTATTTAATTATCAACAACGTTTCAACTGTGCATTGCTGAACTATGGACATCCTCTACCTGAGAGGGTTTAAAACATTCAGGTTTATCTGAGAGTGCTCTGTCAAATGTTTAGTTTTGGCATGGTGGCTGGGCAGCTGGCTGCCACATAATGTGTCGAGGATTCGGAACAACTCTTTGTGTGATCCACAGATTGTTGTTCCGGGTCTGGGTGTCATGTGTACGTGAACTTTGGTGTTTGTAAACGCACTCACGACACAGAAGAAAATCCTAGTGGGGGGCAAAACTTTATTAAAAAAAAACCAGCGGAAAACGTTGCGATGGTGACAAACCACACAATGGAATGTATTTGATTAAAAAGGTATAATTTACCACTGTTATAATAACAATATCGATATTAAATAGTGCACTCAAGTACACTTATTGCGCATTTAGTATTACTTAACTTAAGCCAGTCGTTGTTATGTTAATAAGTTAACAAGTTGTGTTAGGACATTATTCTACTTGTGTGTTATCTGAATCATGAGCTCATCACTTAGATTATACGTCAGATTATGACTTCAGATGTTATTATTGCTTGATTTCTTGGAATATGAATGCATTGCAAACTTATAGTAATTATTAGGATTTGAGAACTAAATTAAGACGTCAACAGCATGGCTCTGTGCATAGTTGAATCTATCACCATGGTTGCTACGAATAAGGAAATTATTTGAAGAGTAAAGTAAATATTCTAACGTTTCAAATAATTAATAATTTGTCCCATATAAATGTTGATCTTGACCTAGACGGAAAAATTTATTTATTTATTTATTTATTTAAGCACATATTACAATTGTCATTACAGACTACGTCTAATGCGACAAAGTAATTTGACATAAGATAAAATTTTAGCAAACAATGTTTTAGCAAAAATAAAAAAGAAGTATACCGACTACTATATCTCATCTACATCTTACAAACTACGTAGTACGTAACCTTCGTGAACTCACTCAGTGTACAGGTGAATATGTCTATATTATCTGCCACTGTGTTGAGAGTGCGCAGCGCGCGAGTCAGCGGCGCGCGATAGAGGAGGTTAGTGCGCGCGCGCGGCACCACAAACAGTCGCGGCCGGCGCCTCCGCGCAATGCACTCATCCGGTACACAAAATCCTAATTGTGCTAGTATCCCACAGTGTTGTATACTACCTCTTAAAATTTTAAAGAGGTACACGGTTAGTGCCACTTCTCTCCTAGCTTCTAAACTATAGTATCCTACCATGCCCAAACAGAATAAGGTAGGATATAAAAATGGGTAACCCGGATATACTCCATACAACTTTAGATATAGAAATCGAATGAATTTGTTATGAATTTTTTCAATCATATCTTTATATTTTGTTTCACTCGGACTCCAAACGGCCGCGCTGTATTCGAGATGACTCCTCACAAGAGCTTCGTACAATGCTCTCAGAGCAATGATGTTCGTAAAATCATTTGCCTGACGCAGCACAAAACCCAGATTCCTGAACGCCTTTTTACAAATGTGCACCACATGTGCACGAAACTGTAAATCACTTGTGAAATTAATCCCAAGGTCCCTTACCTCCGTGATACGCTGCAGCGGCTTCCCGTTCATGATGTACTCGTGGTGTTGAGGGTTACGTGTGCGTGTGAATGAAAGCACTGAGCATTTAGATACATTAAAGTATAATTTATTGGAGTGACTCCATTCTGTGACCCTGTCCAAGTCGTTCTGCAACGCATCACGATCAAAGGCTTTTTCTATGGTAGTGGACAACTTCAAGTCGTCAGCAAATAATAGGCATGTTGAAGTTACTACCTTTGGCAAATCGTTTATCATAATGATAAATAATAAAGGTCCCAAATTACTACCCTGACTGACGCCCGATCTGGTGTAGTAAGGCTCCGAGAGGCGTCCGGCACAGTCAACATACTGACGTCTATCTCGAAGATAACTGGCAAAGAACTTCACAGTATGATATGTGCAGCCCATACCTGCTAACTTCAACAATAATATGTCGTGGTCGACCGTGTCGAACGCCTTCTCGAAGTCCAGGTAGGCCACGTCCACCTGTAACCCGACATCAACAGCTGGTACCAACTGTGACATCAGGTGCAGCAGGTTTCCTGTAGTGCTACGTCCAGGTCGGAAGCCGTGCTGCGCTTCAGACAAATGTACGCCCATCTGTGTATAGAGATCGAATTTATTTATTTATTTATTTATTTAAGCACATATTACAATTGTCATTACAGACTACGTCTAATGCGACAAAGTAATTTGACATAAGATAAAATTTTAGCAAACAATGTTTTAGCAAAAATAAAAAAGAAGTATACCGACTACTATATCTCATCTACATCTTACAAACTACGTAGTACGTAACCTTCGTGAACTCACTCAGTGTACAGGTGAATATGTCTATATTATCTGCCACTGTGTTGAGAGTGCGCAGCGCGCGAGTCAGCGGCGCGCGATAGAGGAGGTTAGTGCGCGCGCGCGGCACCACAAACAGTCGCGGCCGGCGCCTCCGCGCAATGCACTCATCCGGTACACAAAATCCTAATTGTGCTAGTATCCCACAGTGTTGTATACTACCTCTTAAAATTTTAAAGAGGTACACGGTTAGTGCCACTTCTCTCCTAGCTTCTAAACTATAGTATCCTACCATGCCCAAACAGAATAATGTAGGATATAAAAATGGGTAACCCGGATATACTCCATACAACTTTAGATATAGAAATCGAATGAATTTGTTATGAATTTTTTCAATCATATCTTTATATTTTGTTTCACTCGGACTCCAAACGGCCGCGCTGTATTCGAGATGACTCCTCACAAGAGCTTCGTACAATGCTCTCAGAGCAATGATGTTCGTAAAATCATTTGCCTGACGCAGCACAAAACCCAGATTCCTGAACGCCTTTTTACAAATGTGCACCACATGTGCACGAAACTGTAAATCACTTGTGAAATTAATCCCAAGGTCCCTTACCTCCGTGATACGCTGCAGCGGCTTCCCGTTCATGATGTACTCGTGGTGTTGAGGGTTACGTGTGCGTGTGAATGAAAGCACTGAGCATTTAGATACATTAAAGTATAATTTATTGGAGTGACTCCATTCTGTGACCCTGTCCAAGTCGTTCTGCAACGCATCACGATCAAAGGCTTTTTCTATGGTAGTGGACAACTTCAAGTCGTCAGCAAATAATAGGCATGTTGAAGTTACTACCTTTGGCAAATCGTTTATCATAATGATAAATAATAAAGGTCCCAAATTACTACCCTGACTGACGCCCGATCTGGTGTAGTAAGGCTCCGAGAGGCGTCCGGCACAGTCAACATACTGACGTCTATCTCGAAGATAACTGGCAAAGAACTTCACAGTATGATATGTGCAGCCCATACCTGCTAACTTCAACAATAATATGTCGTGGTCGACCGTGTCGAACGCCTTCTCGAAGTCCAGGTAGGCCACGTCCACCTGTAACCCGACATCAACAGCTGGTACCAACTGTGACATCAGGTGCAGCAGGTTTCCTGTAGTGCTACGTCCAGGTCGGAAGCCGTGCTGCGCTTCAGACAAATGTACGCCCATCTGTGTATAGAGATCGGTGTGAATAGACATCTCGAACACTTTAGCTGGCGCGCTCAGTACTGCAATTGGCCGAAAGTCACTGACGCATGTACCACCCCGACCCTTTGGTATAGGCACCACACGCGTCAGCTTCCAACGATCAGGAAAATATGCTTCCGATAAGCAAACATTAAATATGTGATGTAAGGGATCTACTAGTACCTCACGGCAGTCTCTTAAAATGAAAGGTGGAATACCGTCCGGACCCACCGAGCGCTTAGGCGGCAAGCAGGTGAGCGCGCGCCGGACGGCCGCCCGCTCGAGACGCGCGATGTGCGTATATGCACCGCTCGGCGTCGCCCCCCCGCACGCCGCCTCCGCGCTCAGTGTGCCCGCCGTCGTACTGTACACAGACTGAAAAAATAATGCATACTCCCTAGCAGACTCTTCACTTGATAGAACTCGTCCTTCTTTAATCAACTTGCAATGTTTAGATGAGTCTTTTTTGGACCTTACGTAGTTCCAGAATGATTTTGGGTCTACAGCAAGATGGTTCTGTACTCTATCTTTGTACTGTAAAAAACAATTAACCGTTTCTGCCTTCACCTTAGCCCGACACTGAGAGAA